AAGTCCAGCCGCCACTGGACTTTCAGAAATCAACAGAGAATGGCCCCAGTTATATGGGGCCCATTAGATGGTTGCCAGGGTGTTTCTAGGTAGCTGCTACATGCATAACTATGGAGAATGTTTCATCTTTACTGCTCTCTCTCACATACACCTAGTCTAGTAAAGAGTGGACTACATTTTTGGCTCAGAAATGATAGAATAGAATATCTTTATTGTCATTGTATCCAGTACAACAAGATTAAAAAGCCATCATTATACAGGCCCAGATTTGAAATACTGGAAAGAGTTCTTCTGCTGACAAAGCAAGGGCTGTTTTTGTTGGCCCAGGTTTGCTGCAATATTTGGGGTGGTTGCTTAAATGGGGGCGAGGGGTTTACAAGGCACCTTGTGCTCTAATATGTCTTCACTCCAACGTTAATGTGCATGGGTTTGCTCAAACATTGATAGGGACAAGTCCCTACTATTTATATGCAAAACTCACTGAGGTAGTTGCCTCACCAGAGTCTCCGTCACATTTACTGCTGTTTCTTTGCACAGTGTGCTCCTTCCTGTTTGGTGCTGGAGAGAGCTCACCTATTGGTTGTCTATGATGTTCACGGCACTGTCTGCATGAGCCAAGACTAAAGACATCCGATCAAAATAAACATGTTTAATTTTATCGGAATGTCAAGACAACAAAACGACTGACTTAAAACAGCTTGGCTCACCACCTTACACCAAACGACTGAGATGACAGGAGTGTGACACGACTGTAGCAAGATTCTCATGATTTTATTCTGACATTAGAAATTTGTCTGTGACACGAAATCGCTTGGAAAGTGATTAGGTGTAAGGCCAGCATTATAGGGAAACAAGCTGAAAACATTAGGCCAGTCGTTACTCAGCTAACCTACTACCAACAATTAAAAATGGATTCACTCTAGCAAGTACAGTTGTATTAAGAGGGGAAATTAGAGCCTTCCAGGTTTCAGTATTACTGGAGTTAGTGGACTGCTTGGGGCACTGGATGTTTGTATGGAGACAAAACTGTTCATGTCATTTATACTTTATGTGGCAGTATTTTTTTTAACCTCTATTCATGTAAACTGATTCTCAATAATGCCTCAGCTCCATGACTTACTGACATTTACTAGCAGAAATGTAGACTAATTGTACCCCCATAAAGAAAAGTGTAGTTTTCAGCACCTTCAATGGAAAAAAGAATAAGTAATGTGAAAACTTTTATCTAACTTTGAGTATGATTTATGAGGGAAACAATAAATATTGAAGCATAATAACTTTATCTAACCATGAGGTGAGAATAACATTTGAAACCTTAAGTACAAATGGATGCAACAGTTAGGACTGTTGTTTACAATAACATGGCCTTTCCTGTGTAGACCTTGTCTACACATGGCTCCAACATTTCCCATAGGTGTTCAACTGGGTTGAGATCTGGTGATTGTGAAGGCCACAGTATACAATTCGCATCATTTTCATACTCAAGGCATCCAGTGACCCCTTGCGCCCTGTGGATGGGTACGTATTCATTTGGGGTTTTTTAAATTTGTCCCTCCTCTGTAAGTGGGTTTACTCATATTTTGGTAGTGGAGGTGACAACCAGAAGGTGTGTATGAATTCTTTAGTGGAATGATGGGGCTTGCACACTGCAAAGAGGTGCTGTTAGTATTAGAGAGCTCTAGAGGGAGACATCTACATGTTTTAGGAGTGTGCCTTCTCTGTGTTCTCAACTGTTTGGTTCTAAATTGCTGAGCCATTTGTTCACATTATAGACAAAAACAGGGCCAGAAAACCTTCACTGACCTGTTCAGATTTTCTGTGTAAGTGCTTCACATCATCCATTTGTATTTCTTGCTCAGTGACAGGTGGGTAGGACTTTATTGATCCCACAATGGGGAAATTCCTGTGTTCCAGCAGCAATAGAGAGCAGCAACAAAACACTATAAGAACAAACAGCACACACATCTCTTGAGAAACAGATTCCAAAGTACCTAAGACCAAACAGAATATAATATTTGAGAGACAATCAAGAACAAGAATGATCCTCCCACAATTAATCCCTGAGAACAAATCAAAATACCTAAGAACAAGAAAAAATATAGTATTCAAGAGATCAAGAAGGACAAGAATATTACTCCCATAATTAATCCCACAATGGGGGGAAATAACTATTTCAGCCATGAGGATCTCTGAAAAACTACTCAAAAATACCTACAACAAGACAATTGCTACGGTGAGCCGTGTGTTGAGTGGTTTTGGACCCAGTAATGATGCAGACCCGAACCCAGGACAGACAAGGAAAATGTCTTTAATGCGTCACAAAAAACAAACAAAACAATACAGCTGGTCTCTTCCGCTGATCTCGGGGCAGCTGGGCACACTGGGTTGACTGGACTACTGTTTCCCGGGGTGTATGAGAGGTGTAGCTCGCTAAGTAAGAACAGAGAGAGAGTCTAAGAACACGCAGCAGGTATGGTATAGATTGTTTCTGGTAGTCACTCTGGGGACCTGAATAGCTGAGCGCGCCGCCAGGTGAAAAATATGGTTCAAAATAGGTGATGCATGATTTAATGGCTATAAAGCTATTTTAGATTACTTATGAATGCGATATACAGTTGCAAAAAAACATTAGAAAACCATTTAGAGTGACCTGGTTTTTGGCACGATTTGGTCCTAAAATGTGATTAGATGTTCAGACAAACACAGTGTGTGATCTAGTGTGATGTGACTGGTGCTCACTGTGATTCGGAACAGACAACAGACCACAGGAAATGTTTTATGTTCAATATTGGTGTTTTGTGTTTTTCTCAGATTGGAGCTTTTTGTACCAAAACATTTATAAAACACCTTGACACCAGTTAACATAGTAGCTCCGTAGCTTCATACAGCGGAGAATTTATTTGTGTTTGACCCACACAAGCAGCACAATTCAGTGAAGCCATCTTCTGTTGTGAGGCTGGAAACATATCAGTGACATATTATCTGCTGATTGTAAAAGGTACTTCTTAAAAACAGCAGGGTTTTGGGTTGCTGACCATACTAGCTGCCAAGAGATTCCTTTGTAAAGCAATTTCAATGACAGGGGGGCGACAGCTACAGTCCCATTTCTGTGTGAACATGAATTTTAAAATTTAGAAGAATCATTAGAAAAACTTGGCAGTCTTGTTAGAAAAACTGTGTGAGGTATCTTCAAAAGTTAGTGCAGAATTCCCTTTTTGTTGCCATCTCCCCACCACAGACACACCCGGAAGACACCTGAGGGATCTTTCCAACTTACAAACCGCCCACTAACCCACACACGAAAAAGAAAGGTTGTAATATCCCAACTACTGATGTTGATGTTTATTTTAATTAATGCATTTTTTACATGCTAGAAATGTACATTCAGAAGTACTGTAAAACATATGGGGCTTTTGTTTATAATTTGAGTTGTGCCATTTCCTAACATATTGACTGTCTTTACATGTTTGAAAGAATAAATCAAATCAAAATCAAATCAAACATTGGTTTTACTGCTGCCAACCACTATTGCAATCCACTTAAAAAGGTCCATGACACACTATGTTTGAAAAGATAAAACACATTAAATCATCTATGTAAAATATTAACTAAGGATCAGCCCAAATGCCTGGACACATACTTAATTAAAATTGTACTTGTATTCTTCCCAGCACTAAACCATCAGTGGCTGTCACTAAATCCCTGTGGCTCACTGTGGTCAGACCAGGACGGAGAAACAAGAAAACATCTGGATGTTTGTGACATTTGATTAACTTGCAGTTGAAATCCTGTGTGTGCAGATTTTCCATTTCTTCATACTGTGTGTAACATTGATCCTATGTTATCTAGTCTGTGTGAACAGTAAACAGATAACACTAGTGCTTTTGCTGTTTCCTTTTTGCTATTGGTGGTGGTGACGGATCTCATAGGAATTTAGCAGTTTTTAAAAAAAGCAAAGCCCAGATTGGAGCGGCTTCCATTTTGGCTGCAAGACAGACTAAAGCACAACAGTGTAGGTACATAAACAGTCAAATATGAGCAGGAATTTGGATTTGAGCATGAAGACATGCGGTGTTAACATGCGGTGGAGGGTGTTCACAACAATTACAAGACAACAATGTCTTGTAATTGTTGTGAACACTGGCACAATTTGGACACAGCCAGGTGCATTTGGGCTCAACTTGGAAGAGAAGCTGAATAACATTATTATTTGGAAGAATGCATCATGAGCAAGTGGAGTTTGGGCTGGCTTTAGTAAAGACTAATCAAACCAGCTTCTCTCATCCTCTTTAAAAGCACAGTGGAAACCTGTCTTTGACTGGGAGAAGAGTGTGTGATACCGGCTGTTTGTGTTCGAGCATCATCGCTTGTACTCACTTCACTGACCTTCATCAGGAAGAATGCATCAAACTGAAGCACCCAACCATATACATGCAAAACAAGGAAGTAACCCAGTAAAAAAAAGCTTCCAGTCAGAGGACGACAAACACACCTGGCCAATGCACACAATCAGGGTCAGTGAGCTCATTGTCATAGTACATAATCTGGAGCTCTTATTGGATTTATCATATGATAAAATATCAAATTCTCACAAAGTTAATATTACCTAGGTCTATCATTTTCCTGCAATTACAATTAAAGGTGTTCTGAGCAGGTGTTACATTATCACAGTTTTGGGTCAAAATGAGCTCCAAAGTCATACTGTGCTATCTAATCAGCATGAACATGGCCTCAACTGTGTCTCAGTGTAAGTGTGCTCATCCATGGCAAGAAAATACTAAACACATCAGTGCCCAAAAATATTAGACTTGCACTAAAGAAAAATGTAGTAATCCTATGTTTAAAGCTACAAACCCTGAGCTGCCAAGTTTGACAAGTATTTACATAGCTGGTGTGTTAGTTAATACTGTATCAGTGTACTTGTTAACACAATCACTGTACAAACTCAAGCTTTCCTGCTAGAAGAAAGATCAAACATAAGTAAAAGTGTAATGGCTAAGCAAACTAAATAAATCAGATATTCTTCTTTTAGTGTGACTGGTAAAGAGATTTTGACAGTTAACACTGTTAACCCTGTGAGCTACAGAGGATGTTTTCAAACCACAGCTGTAAAACCTTTCAGGCTTCTTTGTATTTCATCATTTAATGTATGGTATATTGTGACACTATAGACATAAAAGTAATCATTTTCACTGCAGCATGGTTGATAATGGCAGTAGAAAATGTCCTGCATTTTACCATCTAGTTACTTTATTTCTCCCACTAATTATTTTTGAGTTGCACTGGAACGATATCTACTGTACCTTTTATTTCATTTATACATAACAATTAAACATGCTCTCACACATAGACAGCATGTTAAACTGATGTTTTAAACAGTAATAAGGTTCTCCAAGCAGTTGGTGTTCTAGAACACTAGTCAACAAAGGACACGAGCCAACTGCAGGAGACACCAACTGAAATTCACTACACATTTTCTCAAACTCTCAACCAACACAATCGACGTTTTGTCTAACATTTTTTACATTTTCTGGACTTTTTAACCATCTACCAGAAATATATTTGAGGTTAAACTCAATACATCCAAGTTACATCGACTGTAACACTTGGCCAATTCAAAGATGTCTTCCACTGGACATGCTGTACAGGTCTGTATTTTTTAAGTAGTCTACTCTTATCTCATTTCTTAATGAACATTCCTTGTCTATTTGCATTGTTTATTGTTTTGTTTATACTGTTTAATACCCAACAGATGTTTACATTTGCCCTTTACCTTTGTTAGATTACATTTATGAATTAGTGTAGTACTGTTATTTTGTTTTTTAATGCTCACTTTTTGTTACACTGCCAGTGTTCATGGGTCTCATGATTTTGAAACCATTGAAAATGTGTTGATATATGTTCTTCACAGAAAATGAGCCATGGCCACCGAGTCTGAGCTTGAAAATATAATTACTCATATCTTTTTTTTTATATAAATAAAAAAAGCGGGTCACCAGTGACCTGAATGACACACTAGGGTTGTTAATTTGTTATACTACACAGCCTTATATTGGTATATTGTTTACTTGCCCTTTGCTATTGCCTTACATAAGGATATATACATACACATTGAGAGCTGCTGTACCAGAGTCAAATTCCTCGTGTGTCCGACACACCTGGCCAATAAAGCTGATTCTGATTCTTTTCTGATTCCCAGGATCACCAAATAATCAAAGGAGAAAAGCTCACGTCCAGTTCCTCCACCTACCGGGTGAGGTCTTTCCTGGGGCAGGGCACCTTTGGCACTGTTGTCACGTGCACGAGGATGGTCGACATGAAGACAGTGGCCATCAAAATGATAAAAAACCAGGGCTTTTATGCTGAGGATGCAAAAAACGAGGTGGCTACCCTGTTGAAACTGAAATCACTGGACTCAGACAAATGTAACTTGGTTCGCTGGTACCAAGTTTTTTCTGACAAAAACCATATTTGTCTGGAGTTTGAGCACCTAGACAAAAGTCTTTATGACTTTATGAAGGAAAGATATTTCCGACCTTTTCTTCTGAAGGAGATCAGACCCATTGTCCAGCAGATTGCCAGTGCACTCGGCCACTTGAAGGCTGTTGAAATAATACATGCAGACCTCAAGATGAAAAATGTGATGTTGGTCAACCATCAACAGGAGCCATACAAAATCAAAGTGATTGACTTCGGCCTGGCCCATCACGTGTCAGCAGCCAACATAGGCTCATATATTCAGACCCTTCCATACAGGTCTCCTGAGGTTATTTTGGGGCTTCCACTCACAGAGGCTCTAGATATGTGGTCTCTGGGGTGCATAGCTGCATTTATGTACCTCGGCACTCTGCTCTACCCTGGCAGGCATGAGTATGATATGATGAGGTACATAGTGGACATTCAGGGTCAGCCACCGGACCATCTGCTCAACCTTGGACATAAAACACACATTTTCTTTGAGAGAGACTGCACCACGAGCTCATGGAAACTAAAGACGCCAGCACGGGTCCACCGTGAGACGGGGATCCAGCCAATGGAGACCAGGAGGTTGAGGCTGAGCTCTCTGGATGCCATTCTGCGTCACAAGAGGATAATTCATGAGGATTATGCAGACTCAGCTGCCGAAATGAACGATGTACTGCTGTTTGTGGACATGCTCAAGGCAATGCTGGAGCTTGATGCTGCTAAACGAATTACACCCTGTCAGGTGACACAGCATCCCTTCATTAGCATGCGCCACTTGAAAAGCTTGTACCCCCTCAGCAACCATGTTAGGTCCTGCTTTGAGATGATGGTTGTCTGTTGGAACAAAGCCCCAACACCAGACAAAGGGAAGGCTGCGTGTGGGTTGCTGCAAGAAGGATCAAGGTTCAAGGTTAATAATTTTTATTTGCCATTTATGCATAAACAGACAGTCTAGGCATATAGGAATTCTTGTGCAGCTCTCTTGGAGTCAAGTAAAGATTTAAAAGCGAGAAAAGAACACATAGTATAAAAATGCAATACAAAAAAAAGATAATAGACCATAATGAGATGGTGAACTTCAAATATCGGTATTTCACACTTAGTGGAGTTGGATATGCTATTTCACTTAGTGAGGTAGTAAGGGGGTTATTGCACATGTTTCTCACATTTTTCTATTTGTATTTTCAGCCTCAGAACCTTCCTTCTCATCCTCCTGCTGAGGTCCAGCCCCACTGCAGCAACCCACATCCCTGCACCAGTAGCCAAACCACATTTTCAAATGAATCAGGGATGAAGAGGAAGGTCGATCATGAAGATCTGACAGAAAATGATCATCCATCCAAAAGGGTCAAGCACAGCCAGGATCCTACTAATCTGAGCCACCCAGTCCCCATCAATGCTCACCCTTCCAAAGACAGTCAGACCCAAAAGTGGATCAGGTCTGAGGTTAAGATGGCTTCTGCTGAAGGTGTGAGGAGCAGGTGCGTAACCTTTGACCACTATCGAAGGTTATATTATGAAAGAATGAGAGTCGGAAACAGCTCTGCAGGTCCATCCACATCAGGCAGCAGCACCCAGACCCAGACTTGCACCTCGCCACAGACAAGTCAGTCGGGACTGAAGAGAAAGGCAGCTGATGTTGAAGATGTGCAGCCTAGAAAAAAACCCTCTGTACAACAAGCAGCATCATTAGCACAGAGCCTGTCACCATAACTGTACTGTTTGCTGGTATCCCTGACTCCAGAGAGCTACGAGTCAGGGATATAATGTTACAATGTTACAATAAACACTTAATTGATCATTAAGAAGTTGCAGATAATTTGTTTTGTCAATCAACTAATCATTTCATCAAATTATTTTTTCACCTCTATGAAAGTCAAGTTTAGGAAGTGGTGAATAAATGAATGGGTGAGAGAGTATTTTCTGTAAGTTTCTGCCTCAATTACCCAGCAATTTTAGCATTCTGGCTTTGGTTCAGCAAGCTGATATAGAGCATGTGTTATGTGTACTATTGCAAAAAAGTTGAGTTATATTTTGTCACTGTCTTTAGACCCTCACTTCATGGCACCAGGGTGTGCTGTCACAACGGTTCAGAATGCTGTTCGGGCATGTTCCTGTTTCTCTCTATAAGAATTTTGTATCCTGAATGTAAATACGCTGTGTGTAACTGGGCTGTTTAGTAACACTGATATATATTTATATTTCAGTAGGCTCACTAGCACAAATTCAAAAGCTAAATTAGTGCCACTTTGGAGTCAAGTACTCTAAGGGGGACACACACACTGTGGCACAGTAGCCGTCACAGTTTTGTTTGTGTTTATCAAGATATTCTGTCTTTTGGATGTAAGGATGTGTTACAGGGCTAAAGAATGAGAACTCTTAATGCAACACATTTATTTCTGTAAAAGACAGAATGCAGTACAGTCATCAGGAGTACACTCATCAATTACACCCTGGAGACTCGCTCATCCCGTACTGACTACTCTTCTTTGACTGGCGTCAACTACATCTAGACCAATTAACCTTAGCTCAAGTACTACTAACACACATACAATACATAGTGCTGGCAGAACATAAGTGTAATGACCGTAAGCATTTCAACACTGAATTTGGTAAATACACACAATTTACAGAATACACCATGTAGCTTTAGACCAGATACAACACTTGAACAATACTGGCTTTAGCCTCAGCTTAATAACAAAATTAGCGCTAGTACACTGTCCACGGGTGTACAGTTTAGCTTAGGTTGACACTCCACCTTGCTACTTCATGTCACTCACACTTTTATTCCATGCTATCAGCCTTTTCAATCAACTCATGCTGACATTATAACACTGTGTGCATTTCCCGAGCACTCATATTTCTTCTCTTGGCTCACAACAGCATTGACAAGTACTCCATTAGCTACTGCGGTCGCCACGGACCTATGTCCGCCATCTTGACCGCGCAACGCGGCGACTCACACTCACAGACTCATACAGCAGTCAATCCATTCTTCTCCGCTCAATCTGCAACACTAAAGCACCCAAGACTCACTACTACTGTTGTCTATCATTTGTGTGTTGTCTATAACCCGCTCACCTGTAAAAGACAGAATGCAATACAGTCATCAGGAGTACACTCATCCCGTACTGACTACTCTTCTTTGACTGGCGTCAACTACGGATGCTTCAGGCATCGGGCGCCCCCTGGGGGTGAGGCGGAGTATACGGGCATAGATAATCCTTTTCCTCTACAACACACACTAGGCTAAGGAGTAAATAAACTTCGACACAACAGTTCAAAATTAAATGGGGGGCAACTATCTTTATACTTAACAGTCATACAGTGCCACAGATGCATGTATGTTCATTTGCATGTGGAATGTATAAGCACTAAGATGTAAGAGATTTGTTGAACTGAGCTGCCATGCCTATTGAAAACCCTCCCAGACAGCTAATTTTTCCTGCAAGATAATTAGCATGAATCCTGTTTATTACCATTGCCTAGCCTAGCCTACCTTTTGCTTGCGACTGATTGAATAATTGACTAATGATTAACAGTTCAATCTGTCAATTATTTTCTAGTTATTAGTTTATTGTGTAAAATGCCAGAAAATAGTGAAACTTTGCCAGCAGAAATCAGGTTTCTATCCAATTTTAGTGCAAATTTTAACCAAACAGTCAGAAAATTTGCAAAAGAAAAAAAGCAACTGTATTCCAAATGCAGATATTAGGAGCTGGGCTCCTTAAGCTACACAGTCGGTGAGGTCAGTTCTCCAAGGCTCCACACACATGTGATATTTTCACCTGCTGCACTATTTTGTCCCCCCTTGTAGTTGATGCATCCGTGGATATTGAAGCTTTTTGTACTTCATGATTTATTCAGTAAGTCTGTTTCCATTCCACTTCATTGCATTTTGTTTGTATCATTACACAATGATATTGAATTCTTAATGGCCCAATAAATGGCTCAAACACTGTAAAATGTCATGGTTATTCTTAGCCTTTGGAGCTCTTTTTTTGTGTTTTTGAAAAAAAAATCAGGCCTCACATTTGTTACTGTGTGTGGTAGTCTAAACACAGCTGTTCAGATCCTCTCCATAAATAATACTGTAATGTATATTTTGATGTGCTTGTGGAAAAACTGGGGTTTCCCAGATTGAACAGGGCTCCCTTTGTCAAAAGATGGTGGAGGAGATCATTATTATGCAGTAAAAAACTGATGTTCTATCAGAGAGAGCTGGATGAGATGAGAAATCACTCAACCTCCAGCTCTCCACTGAGCTCAGTGCTGAGTAAATCACAAGAAGTGAAAAGCTTGCTAATAAGCCTGAGGAACAGCAGATGAAGATGAAATGTGCAAGCACTAGGAGTCCCTCCCTAGTGCCCTCCATGATCAAGAACCCACAGAGAATGCTGGGGTATCTGAAAGAATCATCCAAGACAGGCAATGGGAAAAGAATCTGCCACTTTCTGGGATTGAGGAAACCGAAGAGGTGGAAGAACATCATACAATTTAGTTATTTAAAAATAAGAAAATGGTCGCACACCAACGCACCCCAACCTGGCTGACCTTGAACGATTCTGCCAAGAAGAATCGAGCCGAGCTTGCAGTTTCATTTTCAAGAAAACTTGAGGTTGTCATTGCTGCCAAAGGTACTTTAACCAAGTACTGGGGTGAAGGGTCTGAATAAATGTGGAAAGCTTTCTGTACTGACTGAATATGAGCATCAAGAAAAAAAATGTACAGTATAAGGTGGTACAAGTCTGAGGGTTGTTACAGAAATGAGAAACCATTAGCTCTTTGTTATATAATCAGGCAGCCAGGGTCCCTTTGTCTGTCTGCAGCAGGATGCTATATTTGCACAATTGACTTGCCAGCGTGGATGTGGCATAGGCAGGATTTGGATATCTGTTTTTCAAAAGGGGCATATAGGTTCAACTTCTTTTACTTCAGAGTTGGATCTTTGTGAATGGGTCTTCCAGTTCCCACAGCATCTCTACTCCTATTAGACAATTTCTCCCAGAGGTCACAGGTCACTGGTGTCCAGCAACACACTGGTGGCAGTGAGGATTTTTGAGGTATAGAGCTGTTGACATGGAGATGAAGTATGGCTAAATGTTTTTTTTTCCACTACCTTGTCTTTTGACTTTTTCACTTTTCATACTGCTTGCAAATCCTTCTTACATCTGTACATTTAGCAGGTTTTGGAGTATTTACATGATTAATTGTCATTGCTCTCTTAAATCATCATTGGCGCTGTGGACAAATCTCTATCAAGCACATGAGAAGGCCCTAACAGAATTTTACGATAACCTTTTCTGGACACACAGCTCGGTCATAGTCTGTTTTCTTTTGGACAACTCTAATGTGTTGATTTTAATTAACTGCATTAAACAAAGTTAATAACTAGAGTGATACGGACTTTTCTGTGGTTGCTGATGTGAGTCTCCTGTGACAGGTCACAGCCCTGCTGACTACAAGCTGCTGTCGGTCCAGGTGATGGTTTGTCATGGAGACCACTATCCACTGTACTCCATCCCCAAGACCAGACGACCTGCCATCTACTGCACCCTGTCTATCAGCATGTATTCACACATTCCTCACAAAAAAACATTATTAAGCTACTACATGTAGCATTTTAAGCATAGACTCATTTTTTTTCAACAAAAATGGCCAACAATTGATGGTTCTAGGTTCTCATATGTGAGAATTTGCTACTTTTTTGGTTGTACATTTTGGTAAATTGTGTTTTTTGGGGTATTGGATTGTTAGTTGGACAAAACAAGACCTTTGATAATGTCACTTAAGAAAATGCCTTAAGAGAATACAGTATAGCATAAGGTGTAACAACAGATGATATGGCAATCAAGCAGTGTTTGCTGGATAGATACTGTATACAAGACAAGAATGGGAAGGGGACTTTTATTTAGTAAGAGTATGACGACAACAATCAAAGAAAATTTAATGACTTAACAAAAAACATCTTTTCACACTTGATTGGTTTTACGGGAAACAGTAATGAATCTGTATTACATTTGATATTTAGGATATGTTTATCAGATTCATTCAATATCGTAGCAGATGTACTTTCACAATCTGTTGGTTTCTATGGATTATTGCATGTGTCAGCGATTGCAGATGTGTTTGTTTTGCTACAGCTGCTCTTTTTTTAATGCATGGTGCCAATGGATATACATGTGTACCCATTAACAAATGTACATGAGTGTGTGTTCTGAGACAGAGCTGTTTGTCAGTCTTATCTCGCTTGATTTGAACAGCCTCCTCAGTGAGCAGCTGTTAGCACTGCAGAAACGTGGGTGGAAAACACACAAACACCCCAAATAATGACATTTCTCTAACCAGTTTTCCTCCATTCTCTTTTTTTTTTTTGCTGTCAGCACTTTGTCTCAGCTCGCATTAACTTTGCTGCTCTTGCAAGACAGTTGCATAGATGAGAGTTCCTGGTAGGTTGATATTAAAAGCCAGCATGCCTCGGGACTTCATCCTCAGAAGACATCTGAAATCGACATTTTGTCTGTATACACTAACTTAAATTTATCCAAACTCTGTACATAGATACACACCTGCTATGATAACAAACAGTTATTTATTAATTCAGCGAATGTAGTTTGGCCTGATGGTTTTGATGTGTGCACCCACATCCCTTTGGATGATTTTATTTAGATCATATGGCGAATAAATTCCCTGTGACCAATCCCCTACTCTGGGCTGTATACCTGGCTTTAGCCAATTACCTATTTTTGCACAAGGCTTTCACTGCAGCCACATCGGCGGTGCAGATATGGACAGAACAAATGCACATTGTAATCTTTAGAGCTGGAACAGTTT